TATTGAATTGCGTGATCGAATCACGTTAGATCCCTAATTGTATGCTCTAAGATACAACATGTATAAATTTAATCTGAGAAAATTGATTTATACCTCACAAGCTTCTGACTAATGTAGAGATTGAGCGAATTCAAATTCGCACACCAGCAACCTAACACGAACGTTAGAATGGTCCACATGCGCTTCCTCTAATAGTATCCATACGGAAAACGTCCACTAGTACTTAGGATTATACTAGTAATCCAAAAGTATTTTTCTCAACTTATGGACTTTTCTATCAAGATACTTCTCGATCTAAGAATTGTAGAAAATCTCTCTCCTTCTCAACTACTTGAAAGTCTCTTTCTTGATAAAGATCTCCTAAATATATATTTATAGATAAATAATTTTGTATTTATCTTATCATAAATTAAAATATAATTTTTATATTATTTAATTTAAAAAATCAAATAATATGTATCTAGATAATTCATATTAATTATCTTTAATAGTCTCCCAACTAATTAGGAGATTTTATATGATAAAATTAAATAATTAATTAATTAAACTATTTAATTAATATAATTATTTTATTCTCTATTATCTATTAATTAAATGAAAAATCATTTAATTAATTAATTAAATTAAATTAATTCAAATAAATTCTCATAAATAATATGGACTTATTTGCCCTTTTATGTAACCTCTTAGGTTTATCAATTAGCTAATAGTGGACCCGTAATAAATTACGATTTAATGTATGAATAATTAATTATAATCAATTATTCTGGTTAATTAAACACATTTTAATTAATCATTCTTGAACTAATCTACATTAAAATAAGAGTATTCACACTTTCACGGAATATGTCTAGCAATAAGCCCGTAAAGACTTAAAAATAAGTGAAGATAAAATTGTGAACCCTTCTCCGTTTGTGCGTACCTTGCAAATACAATCATTCCATTAACTCATCTCCCAACCGAGATACAAGATTTGGATAATATATCGGCATCCCAATAATCTCAATAACGATATATTTATTTTAGACATTTGTTCAATAACCATTTAGGAAACTCTTTTCCTAAGTGTTTGTCATATGCCTTATATAAGGACTTTCAAAACAACTATCTATAGATAACATAGGAGATTCATCTATTCTCCTAAATAGGTAATGAATCTTATGTCGATCCTCGTAAACCTCCATGTATAAATGGTTTATACTCAACATAAAAACCCCTTATATGATCAACCTATGATCGGGAAAAAATATCAAAATACAAGTTCCCATATACAAGATCACAACAAAACCTCAAGTCAAAAGATTACTTAATACACTATTACAAATATAGAAATTTCTAATTTTCGACAAGTATCTAGTAAAGAATTCTCTAAACGAGATCTCGTCCGGTGAATTTGTTCTCTAACAAGCAATCACATGTATGTAATTGTTACTTACATCGATTACCTATGAAACGAGACACCCTTCTTATGAGCATGTTATACACATGTAAATCTAATCTGAATCTAGTCAATACCCTATCTCGACTTATTCTATGACTTGAAATATTTAAGACTAGAACCATAGAGACTTATTTCATGATCACTATCTATGTGTACAACCAAGTTCTGTAGTTATGTATATTTAAAGGCTTCAACCAAATATAAAATTTATACATTCGATGAAGATGGTAAATAAATAAAATAATTATATATATTAAATAAAAATGATCAAAAGTCTTTAATTACACCAATCAAATTGGTTAGCTGGACAATACTTTATCAGTAATTTTCACTAAAAATAATAAAAGCAATAGTCTAAACATTCGGATTGAGATTTGGTTCTATATATTTAATTTTGTGCAAATTTTGTTCGTAATGAAACTCTCGTTCAATTGAGTTATTTATTAATTTTACATGTATATATTATATTTTGGGAGTAACATTCTGTTTTGGATTTAGAATAAATATAAGATTTATTTATTAAATTATTTGGGATGATGTTAAAGAAATAGAGTGCATCGCAATACATCACTGAGAATATATCTAATTTTATTTTGCATTATATTTTGAACATTCAATGTTTAATTGATTTTTCTTTATCGATTACTTGATTGTGTAAGAAATTACTTATACGAGCTCCATGTAGCAGGCCTCAAGGCCACTCTGATGCAACAGAGAAGAGACACGTTCTGGATTCCACGTGACAGAGCTTGAGGTTGCCAGAAGTCTGGCTACAGATAAGAATATTCCCAGTAAGATTGTTTGCTCCACCGAAGATTGTTGTAGCCATGTGATTATGGTCCTTTTGAAGGACACTTGGCAACCCAACAATTATTGACTGGGTAAAATCTGCTGCAGAGGATGCTACCCAGCTGGTCGAGAGTAATAACTGAGGACATCAAAGAAAGCTCTTGTAACAGCTGATTTAGTGGAGCTAAGCAGGGCAAAAGTTTTATTATACTGCTACTAAGCAAAGCAGTTTTAGGAGGGAGTTAAGAGTGTAAAATTTGAGTAGTCACGATACAGAAGTAACAGAGAGTTTCACGGGGAAGGAAGAGAGTACAAAGGGAAGAGACTTCACGCCATACACATAATCCCCCTTTCTTATATTCACCTGATTACATAATCCCTTAACCAACTACTTTCTGTCCTGCGTGAACTTCTTCCCGGTAACTTTTCTCTGCTTCCAGCATCTTGTCGCTTGATTTTCAGTAATAACAGATTGTGCCACCTCAGTGCCCTGGTCATCTGATTTATCCAACTCAACTTCCACTTCATTTCTTGTAACAGCTCTCACCATCAAGCTAAAATTGTCCAGTCTTACATTACATAGGCCAGAGCATCTGCCTTTGCAGAGAGTTTCCACCGTCTTGTTCCATCTCTGTCCTGCTATGTTCTCCTCACAAGATGGATTTTCCTTACCAAAGGTACTATTCCTTCTCATTTGACCATTAACAGTAAATTTTACCCAAGGTGAAGAACCATTACCTCAACACAGATATAACATTCCCTTCCAGGTCCAAATTCGTCCAATTGGCCAAGCAGAACACATTTGAGCACAATCAAAAAGAGAAACGTCCCTCACTTAATCTGATCTTAATGCTTTATGTTTAAAGCACAATTGGATCGCTGAGTCCCATCTGAACGTCCTTCACTTAGCCCCATCCGTGATTAACAGCGGCAAATTGTGGTCTTACTCTGATCGATTTGAGTCAATGAGCAAGCATTGGAGGTTGATTGCATCAGGTGTCTTTGGATCTTGCAGCATTCGGCATAAAATTTTTTAAAATTGATTTAGGAGTTTAGTTCTTCGAATTGCACAATATAAAAATCATATGAAAATTTTTTAAGAAATAACCAATTAGCACTATTGTTACAGTCAAGTTACAATCAGGTTTGTTAGACCCAATCGCGACCAGATAAAGGAAGAAGAAGACTATTTATTAATTTTGTGATTTTTTGTTTTGGCCTTTCAACTCTTCTTTATTATTTCAATCTAGTTCCTGTGCCCTTCATTTCTCAATTCAAACTCTAGAATTTCCAATTTCTTCATTTGAATTACTATCAAAAACTCTAAAATTATAAAATTCTGATTTCATTCGATTAAATCATCATTTTCAATTTGTTGAAAATTGATAAACCAAACGTATTTTCTTCATTTTCATCTCTTGAAAACAAAGTATAGCAAAGCAAACCAAACACATTTTTTTACCATTTAAAAATCTAAAAATAGAAATTATTTTCCAAGGATAGAAATAAAAAATAAAAAAATAGAAAATACTTTCGCTATCCAAACAGGCCCCTAAATTTTGACTCTTACCACGAGTTTGTCAAAAGCGGACAAAAAGACGGCGGTGACCGCTTGGACAAGGATTAAGAAGCCGAGACAAGAAAATCTATATAATCGCGTAAAGCACGGGAGGCGGAAAGAGATAGGAGATTGTCAAGTTTTAAGCCATGGTTCCATTTAATCTTAATGTAACTCTTTCGTCCTTCTCAGTTACCGTCTTTTGTCCTGATTTTATCCTGTTTCGAGTTGCTCTGGAAATTTTTTTTTTTTTTTTGCTTTTAAATAAGAAGTGCCACTGTAAGTTGTTAAAAACGGTTATGTCCAAGTGAATTTTCAGATAAAAAAAGCCACTATCAAAAAGAAAAAAACCAATTTTCTGAATTCTCAGACTATTTTCGTCCAAAAGTAGAAGAGATGTAGGCAACAGTGGAGTTCTTAAAATTTCCAATGTTCTCTACTTTGAAATATATCAAAGACCGAAATTGAAAACAGCAAAAAGCAGAATTCAATTATAGAAAACTAGACAAAATCCGGATACGAAATTATCTTCTTTTAAGTCATAATTACACGTAGAGAGCCCAGATGAAAACTACTAACTTCATGGATGAGAAAGCAACACTAAATATTTAACCAAGTTTCCCTCAGAAGTATGCTTCCGGCTTCTAACCATACCAAACCAATTTCCCTTCATCAGAGAGGTAAAGAGAGAACGCGGGAGTCAATTAGAAAACAAAAACACAGCAGAGCAAAATGGAGCAATAACAAATTTTCAAATATACCCAACGCGGAAAAATAGTCCATTTGAAAATAATCCAATTAATACAAAATTCAAAGGGAAAATAGGATAAAGAAAAAAAAGAGGAACTCCAAAAAACCCGTCATATGAACCCCCAAAATCTGTATGAAACATTTGTACCATGTTCTTACTTGCAGTACACAGCAGATTATCCTCAGCTTGCTGCCAACCAGCTGCAAAAAAACAAAAAAATGCCTCCGCTACCAAAAGAATATTACAAAGAAATATATCCACAACCTATGAAGGAGATAGAGAAGAGAGATTTCTGTCCGCACCACACCTTCAATTGTTACCGTGAATTTTCTTTCAAAGAGGACAAATGGGAGAAAAGATTGAAGGTGCAAAGACAGAGAACTGAAAATCCAACTTGCTACTTTTTACTTGCCCACGAAGCAACAATCACTCAGTGCTGTTCATTTGCACTCATCCATTAGTCAGTAGGAGCCCATTGGTGGCATGCCAAACGGCGGCATTGGAGGCATCCCCATTCCACCCATGGTAGGTGGTGGAACAAAACCTCCACCCATACCTGGCATGGGTGGTGCAGGCAAAGCTAGAGGAAGCAACTGAGCATACATATTCTGCAAAAGGGAAAAAGATATATACATACTGTCAATTACTTCTAATTTACTATTGTGAGAGAAGATAAACAAAAGTCGGTATTAAGAAAAGAACCGACAAAACAAAAAGATTGTAATGATTTTAGAAAGGTGTATGAAATTCGAAAAAAGTTAGTAGTAAAAAACCTGTTGTGCGATTACGTCCTTCTCTTCGTTCTCCTTGGCCTTAACTTCATTGAGAGCTTCAAGTTTGTCTTTAATTAGCTCATCAACCTTCCCTGTGTACTCACGGATAAACTACAAAAGAAGGGGAAATTTATTAAGCAGCGAGACTGACACTGGGGAAATTTCCATAACACATCTTCACAGACTGAAAAAGCCCACTCAGTCTGGAGAACATAATAAACAAAAAATTATCACAAAGTAAACAAACAATTTACCTGCAACAGATATGGGAAGGCAAAGTCAATCATATTGTTAATCCAAGCATGCTCAAGAACCACATCTGGGCGAATTAAATCATAGCAAACAAAGAGACATGATGCGAAGCATTCCTTCTTTCCCTGCAAGAAAATACCAATGTTAGTACTACGAATTCAACGAACTCGAGAAAAGTCCAAAGATCCAAATGAGAAGTGCGTTCATAATTATAACACAAAACTTTCAGCACAGGAAACTTTATTAAGACCAGGCAGTCCATGGTTCCAAGAGCCCATGGCTAACAATCTAAAAAGGCAGAATACATATCATTTCTTTCCATATTTACAGAACAGTATTAGCTTAATGAATATTAATGAATGCACATGAAAAAAATTATGCATAGAAAGGAAGCACGCCTGTCAATAAAAGGAAGAACCTAAATACCATAAAAGAAAATCCAGAAGTTAAACATTGAAAATTGTAGATGGAAAACCTAAAGAATCTAAATAAATAAAAATCCACAATAAACATGCTTGCTTAAACAGAATATTTTATACTTAAAAAATGTAATATTGCAATATCCTTCACATACTAGGAAATTGGCTTAAAATTTTCAAACAAACTTAGATTTAAAGAAGAATAAGCTTAGTTTCTAACAAAATTAAACAGACACAAGTTAACACAAATTAGCTAATGCCCTTCATCATTCACATAAAATCTAAATAAAGAAACAAATAAATGCTCACACTCAGTATATATGATATATGAACTCTCAAACTGGCGATGGATGAAGGTATGCGTCCAAGCATCAGATTAATCTAATTTACATCTAAAGAAAATTAGTACATCCCTGCATATTCATATATACTTGACTGACTTGGCATTGCAGGAGGAAATAGAACAAGCATCATGGCATAGGGCATCACATGCAAATGGCAGTTATATGAACCATTATATCATAAATTCAATTACTAGGACTGATCAGTGGCCCAAGACAAATGAGACACGTTGGGTGCATGACCAGGCTGCCATACCCTCACCCAAGGGTCAAGTCTAGTATTCCAATCATTCAAAAAAGCTAATTGCAAAAAGTCTTGTGTTACGGGGTTTCTTCATTTATTAAAATAGTCAACATCACAAAGCCAACCATTGTGATATCGAAGGATGCCTTAATTGAGTTATATCTTTTCCAGGTTGAGACTTTCACCTGTTCAATGAAGTAAACAAGTAACTCCTCTGCAAGTTCACGGTCCCCAGATTGTGAGGCAGTCTCCATCGCATCTCTGTAATGATTGTCTTTCTTTGACAAGGCAATGGACTGCTTCCATCTACCTGCCTTCTTGTAGATATAGGCAGCAACACGCCTCATTTCTAGAAGCTCGTGTTTCTCAATCTGCTCATAATAAAATCAAGGATGTTCATGATAACAGAAGTTACTAAGAGAGAAACAAAAGGTGCAATGAGCTAGACATACCCTCTGAGCAAGTCCAATCTGATCGAAGCTATCATGCAAATCAATAGATTCTCGCAATCTTTCATAATCTTCCTCCTCAACATAGATCTCATTCAAAGCTTCATTCACAGCAGTCACATTGTTGCTCTGAACTGCAACCATGTATGGCTTCACAAGAAGCAGGTAACCAGCCTGAAATTAAAAGAAGGTAATATATGTTATAAAAAGTAACCAGTAGCAACTGCAGAGATGCCAAATCAAATGAATCCCACAGTAGTAACATGGTTAGACACATAATGCAGTTCGTGCAAACCTTTCGCATTATGTCAACCACACGTGTATGGTCCACGCGAAGTGCAAGCACATGGAGAAGATCATTCATCAGGTCAGGATGCTCCTGCAAGTAGAAGTGCACAGCTTTGTAGTAGAGCTCCACATTAGCAACCTTGACTATGACATCCTTAAACTGCATGTGGTCCCAGGCTTCAGGAGAATGATTCATGATGGTGGTGGCAGCATTATCAAATTCATCATATTGAATATACAAATATGTCAGCTCCTTCCAGTGCTGTTGTTCATCACAAGCACGAATAAGCTTGGGAATGTTGAGGCGAGTTGAGAATAATTTGATGTGCTCCATAAGCTTCTCATGCCGGTATCTAGCATAAAGAACACCCAACTCTGTAAAGATTCCCATATGAGCACGTTCTAAACCCAAACCACTCTCCATAAGCGATATCAGTTCATTGAAGCATCCTCTATTCTGATAATATTCACTGACCTCCTCCAAGTCATCCACCTAAAAATTCACAAAAATATACCACAAGTTTAAATAAAGAAAAGAAGAGGTTTAAACCTTCTTTAGAGAGAAATATGCATCCAAAAATATAATATCATGCACAGCTGCGGCCACCATGAAGATAGCACCATTTTTTTCAAAGTAGTGCACAGACTTCCAATATTAAAAACAAAATATTAACAAATCAAATTTGCACCTGTACAATAATGTTGAGGCCACATATTTGAGCTAAGCGGAACTCCTCAGCATCAACACAAGCAAAGCAGACTTCCTTCCATGTCTTTGAGCTATTTGCTTTCCGTGCTGCATCAACAGCACCTTGAAACTGTCCTAGCTTTACTAAGGTGCTGGCCAACTTGCCCCAGTTAGATATAAAAGCAAATATTATCTTGGCAGCTTCATACAGAGCTTCATCATAAAGGCGATCACCAACATTTGGAAGATTGGCAACATTTGGCATGAGAATAAACTCCTCAATCTCACCCAGCCTATCAATCTTTGCATATGCATAAATGAGCTCGCTGTCAACCTTTGGTTCCTTTGTCTTCTCTCTAACCATCAGAAGGTACTTCACCAAGTCATGGTAGACACTTGCATCCTCAGCAGCACGAATAACTTCTAAGAATTGTGTGGCATCATCCGCACGAATAAATGACTCAATTGCATCACTCACTAATCCCTCCCTGAGTTGAGCCTTAGCCACTTGACTCCAAACAGCATCCTCTTCAACACGGAATGCAAATTCCACAGCTCTCTCAATGCTCCTAATGTTATCCAATAAGACATTGACTGCCTGGACATTCAAATTGAACTTTTTAAAAATAGCAAAAGCCTCCTCATATAGTTGTGCTTCCACTGCCACTTCCCCAATTGCAGGTCCATCAAAGTTATCTAGTCTATTAATATAATCCATAACCCTAGATGGATCTGCCTTGATGGCAGTCAAGATAAGCAAATTCTGAAGATTGAAGTTTCCACTAAATGCTGAATTCTGGAGCACAATCTTTTCAAGTAGTTCAATTAATTCATGAGGAAGATCTGCAGTCATGAAAGCTTTAACAGCTGCAGAAACTTGTTCTGGGCTCTTGCTCTCAGGCAAAGCAGTTGATACAACTTGATCAATAAGCTGTCTTCTAAATTCATTCTCAGGATTGAGAACTTTCTCCCACAGATCGGCATCCATCCTTTCAACTACATACCTGTTATTTCTCAAGAATGTAAATGAGCCCCATCACATCAATCAAAAATTAACACATGTTACAACATTTTTAGCAGTAACTTACCTGGCCTGAAGTTTAAACAGGGAATTCTTATTTGTTACATTTACAAGTTCTTCATCACACTGTCCTCTGCGGTAAGCAACAACAGCAAGGGTGGGATCGCGCTTCTCACAATATTTGCCCACAACAAGTGAATCATAATAAGGATTGGTGGTGAGGAAGTGCTCCGGATTATTATTGCTATCTATTATAATTTTACCCAGGGCATTGTGAACATGCACATCTTGGCTTCCTTCGCTCACAAGATGTTCCAAAAACTGAGTGAGTAACCGAAGCCGATTCCTGAAACCATAATTGATTATGAGGATTTAAACATGAAACACAAAAATAGACAGAATGGGAAATGACCTTTTTTCGCATTCCTCAACCAATGGTTCAACTGGAAGCAAGGAACGGACAGAGAGAATCAGGCCTTTAATAAAATCCTCTGGACATTCATCATCCAGCAGCTGCCCAACAACTAAAGGAGCATTTCCTGGGTTCACCTATCCAGAGAAAGCCAAAAAAAAAAAAATTAGTAGCATAATCTTCACAAGACTTCCAAGCAACCCAAGATCCTCAACAGGCCCCATACCTTCTGAACATAACCTTCAATATAACGTAGCATGTTGTTTGAATATAGGTAGTGGGTGAGGTCTGGAACAAACCCAAAACGATCACACACATTTATAAGTGGTCGTGCATCAGGAAGCTTGGCTTCCATTAAGAAGTTTTTCGTCTTTTCAGGGTCATAGAAATTTGATTCTCTAGTCACACGCTCAACCTCCTTGATTTGTCCAGTTTTGGCAGCTGCCTCAATGTACCTAAAGTGAATCTGAGGATCCTCACTGTAACCAGAAACAAAGAAAAGAGCTCAGTAAATAACAGTCACAAACAACAGTACCTCATAACAAGCAGAAGTGAGTGCCTTATTTTCTAATTGGATTACCTGGAGCTCAAAGAGGAACCCAGGAAGAAGTACAACCCTTCATATGACTTGAATTGCTCAAAGAGTTTAATACATGCATCAACCCCCAACTGCTCAGAATACTCTTTGGCAACCTGTGGACTCGCAGATTACAAATTTCTGAGAAAAAATATATAAATACAAAGCATATTGTGCCCAAGCAAACAGAAACAGGTACCTGCACAATTATCTGGAGGTTTCCCCTTAGATTCACTAACAAAAGGTCCTTCATGCATTCTAATGCCCACTCACGAGACAGAGTACCAAAGAACTCTACAAGAGCCTGTAATGAATGAATCCCTGATTACAGGCCTTATAATTCACCAACATACAAAAAGAAAATAGCAGTGGAGAACATAAACCTGTGGCTCTATTGCATGAGTATTCACAATGACACGTTTAATATCTGGCAGTTCAGAGTAGTGCTGCAGAAAAAAGGTAACTGTTATAATACAGTGGATAGAACTCCATCATAAAAATATTGAAATTACTTAAGTCATTTTTTTACCTGCAGAGCCCGCACATAAAGACCAGCTTTTTCACAAAGTTGAGCAATGCGAGGACGGTCATAATGACTAAACATTCCATTTGCTAAAATGGCATCCGCAACATTAGGAAAAGTAACAAGGTTAATTTCCAATACCTGCATAAATAAACATATGTTGAAGCTGAAAACCTATACAATAACTAAAGTAGAAGCCCCATCTTCAAAGACAACATGTAACCTTTGTTTGCAGGTAAGCATGTTCTGGCAAATTGGGTTTCAGAACATCCAACAAAAATGCCGTTGCTTCACGAATCAAGTTCCTCTAAGTAATCAAAAACAATCTTGTGAGAAACAAGCTGATTAAAGACAAAATGCTAAGAAGGATAGGTAAGAAACAATTAAGTACACAATGTCACATCTTCCAGTAGTGACAATCAGAAAAATTAATTGACTTGAGGATAGAACATTCCACACAGGAACAAATCACACGGCATAGAACCTGAAGGAAGAGATCCGTAATTGTGTTGTAATCAACTGGACAACCTCCCTCCATTTGAGACATCATTAAGGCAAAATTAAGAGCTCCCTGCACGGAAATGAACAGTAATTTATCTTATTCAATTTTAAAAAATAAAATATCACACAGATGTTGTGAATTTAAGTTCCATCAAAATCAGAAATAATTCACTTCATTGACATGCAAAGGGGAAAATAGGTGAAAGAAAGATATAAACTGGCCCTTTTTCATACAGTCAAAGAACATTTTTAATCTAATCGGTGAAGGTGGCATTACCTAAACATGGAATAATTATAAAAATTTTTCTGACAATATCATGCATACCTGGGCATCTGATCTGAGAATTGTTTGCAGAAGGAACAAATAATCTGGTGAATATCCAACCTGCATCAGAATACACACAAAAAAGAAGTGGCAACTCAACCACTTTGACAAAAATGACAATTGAAAACATGTGTCTCATACACAACCAGAAGGGAAAAATGATATCAAACAAACATAAGACAAAAGAGGTGGATAGTCTCTGATTGCTCAGAATAACTAATCACCACTCAAAAAATATTAAGGAACTGTTCAATATTACCAAATGAAAAGCATAATGTTCACCTGCTTGGAGTATATCAAAATTTTGTCAAACTCCCTTCGCTCTGCAAAAGCAGCAACAACTTTTGGAGTTGCTCTAGCTTTAATATATATTTTCAGTGCAAGGTCGGTATCCACAGTCTGCAACACAATGTGGTTATAGAAATCAGTACCATATTTCATTCAGCAGTAAAACTACATTTGCCAGGTACAAACTTAAATCACTAAAAAAATCAGGGACAAATACAAATAGAACCTTGACAAGGTCTCCAAGTTCTTCACTACATTCCAGCTTGTCTTCAGCTAACCAGTTCTCCAAAAGGTTTTTCTTGTTCTGATTCACAACAAGACGTGACAATTCCAAGGACTCAAATGCATTGAGCTTCCCTCTGGTTAATAGAGTTCCAAAGTACTGCAACAAAGGTGGTGTTTGTCCAGCTTGCACTGGAACACTCTGCAAGTAAGAAAAGGGGAAAGAAAGTAAGCAGTTTAACCTATAGAGACTATGAACAACTAGAGCCTTCACATTATTCCTATTAACAGTCCATAGATTGGAATATAACATATCCACGGTCTCACAGAAACTGCATCAGTACATGCACCAGTCATTTACCTTGGCTAAACCAGTGGCACTCTCTCAAGAAATTTCAGCATATCTAACCTATTGCTTAAAGTATTAGACTTAATACATGGTCATTATTACATATCAAGTAAAATCTCAATATCTATAGACCCCATCCCATATCAACAAATGCCAGTCTTCCCACTGAAAGAATAATAAAAGATCGATCAAGCCTTAAATCATACAGTTGATTTCCTCTCTCAAGCTAGATAAATTCTAATTGGGTCCTGTACTCATAGTTGAACTAAGAAGCATGGATACAGATATGTTTTATGTCCAACACAACATAGATGCATGGAGACTGCATTTCAAAAAAAGAAAAAAACAATCAATGAAGGATACGACATGCGGGAACATGGGATGTACATGTTCTGTATATTTTTATTAGTTATACATGTGACAAACTCAAAAGGTATTGTTGACAGACAGAAATATCAACTATAAAAATTTCAACCAAAAAAAAAAAAAAAAGCATACAATCAATTAAAAGCATCTAATCTACTCTCCCTTTGTTTGTTTCAGAAATTAATGCAAATCACGCCCCTTTGAAACATACAAGAGCATAATTATTCTGTGCACAAATAATTGCTAGACAGTAATACTGGCAGTAAGGCACATTTATATAATTATCAAAGAAGACATGTACCTGAAATTTTGCAACAGTATCAGGAGTGCGGAGAATCCCCTGCGGGGATTCTGCTGCTAGCTCAGCAGCTTCCTTATACTTGGTTTGAGCAAACAATTCTTGGAAACGCTGGACAACCTAAAATATTCCAACATGGACAGTTTTTCACTTATTGCAAAAGAAAGATATACAATAATAACAATATATGTTAACACAGCATGACAAAGACTGATAATTCAGAGATGATGACATATTAGTGAGAGAGAAGATCCTTTTGTTAGAACAATGAAGATCAATTTACCAGATTCTCAGCACCAGGTAGGTTTCCCCTTTTTGCAAGATTTACAGCAAGTTCCAGATTGTTCAACTGCATAAACAACAAAATAGCACTAATAGTTAATATTTTGAATCTCTCTCTCTCTCTCTCTCTCTCTCTCTCTCTCTCTCTCTCTCTCTCTCTCTCTCTCTCTCTCACGCACGCACAAATGCACAAAAAGAATGGATCCAACTATATAGAAAAGGATGGTCACATACTTGGCCGCTGACAAAGGGGACAATTGTTGCTTCATTTACAGTTGCAAGCAGCACCTGTCCTCGCCTGTTGATGCAATAGAAACCTCCAACAGATGAAGCTTCAGCAGTCAGAAAAATTGGATCTGGACTTATTCTATTCCTGTATACTGCAGTAGCTGTTTCTAGGTCATAGACAAAAAGAAGTCCTAGCTTGGTGATCACATTTATCAAACCATACTTGTGGGAGATCTGCCAAAAAGCAAAAGAACATTACATAAAACTGCAGATCACCATACAAAAGGCAATGAGTTGGAAAAAGAGATACCTGCATGGAAACTGGGAAGTCATCAGCAAAATCTGGAGGAAAGAAAAGATCTGCCTGCTTCTTTGTAAAAGATGGTTTCCCTGAAAAAGAGGACAAACATATAAACTGATGTGCATAAATATTAAGGCAGTATAATCACTTCAGCAGGAGCTTTAAGGTAGCCTCCAGCACTGATTAGTTTGACAGAGTGCACATATTCAGTTTTTCTCAGCCAATGCCCAAAGTCCCAAGCATACAGCTTTCTCAAATGAACTTCAGACAAACAGAAAACTATGAAGTGAGACATATGCATTTTTATTAATTCAGAATATTCTCATTTTCTTCTGGTTTAAAGCAGGATACACTTATTTGTTTATCCATATTTCCAAGACCTGGGTACTTTTTTAAACCTCACAAATCCAAATTGAATGTAAGCAAATAGCAATAACCCAGTTGCTGTTGTGAATTAAACCCAATGAACCTAATAATTCAGTGATACAGGTCATTTTCATGCAATTTGCACTCCAAATGTGACAAGGCAGATTAAATATATTAACACCTCATCAAGAACCACACCACTGTAAAATGTTCAAATTAGTGTATCAGATAAGAATATGTAGTTAAAAATTCAGTCTTGCCAAAACACAACTCTCACTGTAAATTCTTTTAAAGAGGAAACGACAAAAGAAAAAAGAGAGAAAGATACACCACATAGGAGGGAAGAAATGTAGACCTGGCTGGGCGCCAAGCTCGATGACATGAAGCTTTGACGTAACCTGTCCAGCATTAACAGTCTTTGTAGCAAAAGAAATGAGAACAGAATCCTTATCGTTTCCTGGAACCTGCACAGATGTACCAAATACCAACAGAGAATATTATATGCTCAGAGTTGAAAGAGCATCAATTACTCATACAAGAGAAGTTTGAGGAAAGAAACACACTTTGAAGGAGGCAAATGCTGCAGCATGCGCTTCAAGAGGTTGACTACGTTGCTGATCCACAGAATATAGTTGCATATTTCCTTTGACAAGTTGGGGTCTCTATAAAAACATACGATGCGGGAAATTATAAAAAAAATTGCATGAAAAGAAATTTTGAAAAAGTACATTGAAGGAAAGATTAAAAATTAAAACAAGCAGCTGCTTCTTCCTATTATGACCTAAATAAGCCACAAACCATATACAAGCAAATGGATAGTTAACCTAAAGAAGGAGGAGAAGGAGGAAGGAACAAGTAAATGGGAAAGGACAGCCATGGATCATTCATGCATATAGGCATATACAATAATTATATATCCATTCACTCCATCTAGCATGAGATGACGAAGAAACTAAATATCCCAACACTTGTAAGCATACAAACGTAAGAAATAAAATCATAAAACCCACTACTTAAATTGTTTCATGTGTAAATGAATGATATTAAAAAATAAAATAAAATACCCAGAACCCTAATTCCTAATTTAGGGTGCCATTCCCTGACATGCATTTGATTACCCTCTATTAACCTCTCAAATGTGAAGGTAGCCTCGTCGCCAAAGGCAAACCCAGTGCCATTTAATAGAAATGTTCAGTGGGCCATCTGCCATTTAATGCCATGTGCATATTTTTTAATTTGATCCTGGCACTAGTTTCATTCTCAATACATACAATATTTTCTATATTTCAGATCAATTTTCAGCTTCCCTACTTTGATGCTTATGTTCCACTTAAAAGGTTATGTACAGCTATGCTACCCACATGTTTATGTTCCACAAGCATCCCTTCAGTGAACATGGTGCTTTCTTATCTAATGACTGATTTCCACCAGAAATCTTGTTGAAGAATAGCATAACAGATTCAAAATCATGGAATAACCATATGACATTTCACAGTTGTGAAATGGGAAAAACATCAGAGAGATAAGTACAAACCACGATATTTATCAATAAAGCACAGTGATACAAAACACGAATAATGAAAGTCCAAAAGAAACAAAAGCATTATAATCCACGGAAATACCTCAGGTGAACCAGGAGCAATTCCAATCAAAACCAACCATTTCTCCGTAGGATCACATCGATAGTTAATAATCTGATTGCTAGCCAAATTAGCTGTTCTATCAAACATCTTTACAGGCTCAGAATCACCTGGAATGCAGGGGAAATAGAGAGAATCAACCATTTTACACCAAACAATTACAGAAACTACAGAGAATTTATACAAAAAACACAAGCAATTAGAAAAACTGAAGTGGCAATTTTACTCATTCAAATATATTGTAAAAAGAAAAGCATGTTACCTTCAATAGACCAATGATATACAGAGGTTTGTGTGACAATACCAAGCATCTGAGGGGTAATCCATTTCCAAAAAACAACCTATATACAGCCACAAGGTCACAGTCAAGAATTAGGGAAGCCAGAGTAATGCATTGATAAAATAAAAAAGGGCTTATGTTACCACCTGCTCTGGCATCTGATGTGATTTCATTTTAGCTTTCATCTCAATGTTAAATATCTGTAAGTGATCCTGAGTAGTCCCCGGAAGTTGTGCTTTAAACAAATTAAACAATATCAGGAGATAAATATACAGATAAGACTTCTCAGTATAACATATATTATTGTAACTTTTACTTTCTTCTGAAAGAAAAGAACTATATAATCTAATGGTTGTTTTTTTCTCTCCCACAGGAGAGTAATAAAAACTAAAAATTAAAAAATAAATAAAACCCGATTCATGTTATCAAACCTTCCACCTAAATTTTCAAATCAAGCAATCGGGAATTTTCAAATTGAAGAGAGAGGGGGAAAAAATCCAAATTCAGATTGTATGACCAATCAGACTACTGCCTCAAAGGGACTCAGTTCTTTGAATCAGTGCCCGCATTGTAACTTGTTGCAAATATGTAGACTACTTCAGGAGCCAACAGCATAGGTAGGTACTTCTAAATTAAACTGCAAACCAACTAGGAAGGCCCAAAGCATTCACAATGCTTATCTTACTAAAAATCCACATTCAGATTGTTTGACCTCTCAGACTACTGCCTCATAGGGACTCAGTGTTTTGAATCAGTGCCCGCATTGTAACTTGTTGCAAATATGTAGACCACTTCAGGAGCCAACGGCATAGGTGGGAAATTCTAAATTAAACTGCAAACCAACTGGGAAGGCCCAAAGCATTCACAATGCTTATCTTACTAATTACACGGACACTAACAAGCTGAATTCTAAATTACAGTGCAAACCAATTGAGAGTGCAGAACACATTCATTATACGCATCTCACTAAGCACGCCACGTCCAAACAAATTGAATTGATGAATATCCACAGGATGTAATGTTGACTGCTAAATAGGTTTACATCTGAGAAGCAAAGAAACAGGTAATACCTTTTAGAGCCAGAATTTTCGAATTAGGATTCATAAGGGCAGAGTCTGCGGTGATAGGCCTTCTCAAGGGTTGCATTGGCATGTTCATGTCAATAATTACAACGCTATTCTGAGGCGAAGTTTCGCGAACGCATATGTACTTATCCGATTCCATAGTGACATGCGTGAAGGTGATGAACTGCGGGTTGATCCCTACGCTAGGCAGCTGCATAACATACCCCAACAAAAACCAAAATCAGAACTCCCTAATATCCGCGATGGTAAGAAGCATAAAACTTTCACCATCCAGAAAAAGCAAATAAGTGTACACGAATTCAGAAATCATGCAACGATCAAAATTGCAGATCTGGAAGCAAACTACACAAAACGGATCTCCACATAACTCGACGCATAACAACATCAATACTGATATATAAGATATGAAAAAACATAATTGAACCAACACGAAGCTTGAAATGTTGCAGTAATTTAAAACGAGACTCACATCACTTGGAGAAAAAGTCATTTGTCTCAATTCAGCTAACAGTTCTAAGTAAAAAACAGCAATCAGAAACTGAGGAGATTACCGTTAGGGTCTCCCTCATGTTGATTGGAGCATTGGCGGCCGCCATAGTGTTGGAGATCGATCCTCCGAGATCAGGAGTCCGATCTACGGGACGAGAAATGAAGCGCCAATTGAGAGAAAACTGAAATGGGAGCTAACTGAGGGATTTTAGTCGATGCGAGATCTGAAGCAGCTAGGGAACCCCTCTACCTTCCCAGGTGGAATATTGCGGCGAAGAGAGAGAAGCGGGTTCCGGAGAGAGAGAGAGCGAGAGAGGGACGCCTCTGAAGATACAAAAATAGCACCGAGTGGAGAGATAATAGAGGAAGAGAGAGACCTCATCTGCGAGGGGGGCGTCGAGTGGAAGAGAACTACCAAATTAATTATTAATATTTTCTTTTCTGCACCGGAAAGAAAATAAATTACAATTTTTCAAACTAAAAAACTACCTGTTAAAATTTTATTAATTCAAGTTTGAGTTTATTTTCCTCCCGTTTAAATTAAATATTTTTAAAAGTTATTAATTGAATTTTCTTTTTTAAAAAAGAAAAAAGATTGTTATTTGGACAACACTACTAAAGAGGGGTTAGTTTGGTGGGATGGAATCTCTGGGCAAGGTTTATGGAAATACTTTATTGTTGGTCAATTGGTAACATCATTACCGGTGAATGATTAATTAGGAGTTGCATTATTAGACTCTTTTTTTAATTTTAAAAAAGTTTTATAAATAAAAAACAGAGAATATTGTATAAAATATATTTGTGATTTATCATAAAATAATAATACATTTTATAAGTACAAATTATTGTTCAAGTTCTATTTTTTTAGTTAATAAATTATTTTTAAAAAGTTTGAAAATTTATACATGTCAGTGCCAAAAGGGGTGTTCATTTTAAGGGGAATTTTCTGTTATATATAATAAATTTTTACAATTTAATCGCATGAGTCATTAATTTATTAAATGAAAAAATTAGAATTAAAATTCGAATAGATATAATCTAATCAACCTATTAACAATTAATTACCTGTTTGGATTAATTATTTTCTTAATTAATCCATCAATTTCTTCAGCTTCATCACCCCTCCTAGCTTTATGAATTTAACCCAATCTTCAATTATAACTCTTCTATTTTGTTTGTTCATTTAAATTCTTTCACAATCTTTATTTCTCAATTTATAACATATATTATTATTTTATACTATATATATTAATAAATAATATAGACTTCTTATTATTAGCATAATATATAAAATGCAATTTTGTCATGACTTTGGTTCGCAGAATCACAGTCCCACTAAAAGATTTTCATAATAAATAAATAAATAATAAGACAATATGTAAATTAATTAATTTATTTTTTTAATTATTGTGTCTAGTCGAAGAAAGGGAAAGTTGACAAAGATTTTTAGCAATTGCTTCGAAGGCCTTAAATTATTAAGGCAAGATTTTGCTTATAAAAGTCAACCTTGGGTCACATCCAATCACAAGGTATTCTTGCATCGTCATCTTCGTTAAACAGCAACAGACAAGGGCTTCTGGCGGATTATCGCTGGATAAATATTATTTTTTATTTTTTAATTAAATATAAAAAAATAAAATAAAAAACTCTTTTTCTTTTTAAATTTATTTAAATAATATTTAATCCATTCTCATTATAAAAAAAATAATTTTTCTTTTTAGTAAACTATTAACTAATAATTATCTAACAATTTTGTTAAGAAATATATAAAAATAACTCAATTTAATATATTTTGATTACCTATTTGATAAAAAATTAAATATTATTTAATTTATTTATAAATTATTTATAAATTTCTTAATTTTAATTTTTAAAAATAATCAAAAAAAACTAACTTTTGATAATTTAATTTTATTATTTTTTAATTTTGAAATAATTCTTATTTTATTATTTTTTTAGTTTGATTTAAAGTTAAAATAAAAATAGTCTAAGTGTCATCTAAATTAAAAAAAAAAAAAAAGGCGCAGTGTAACTTAACTAAAAATGTTAAATAAAATTAAAATATTACAAATTAAAAAATTTTAAAAATAGAATATTGTTATTGTTAAAAAATATAAATTTAAAAATTAAAAATAAAAATTTTAAATTGTTAAGTGAATCAAATAATATTTTAAATTTTAATTGTATGGGTAATTTAAGTAAGTAAAATTAGATTATACTCACTTATTTTTTATCAAAATCGTTAAGCAACTATTAGTTAACGGTTAGTTAAAGAAAAAAAGTGTAATTTCATAATAAGAATAGGACTAAGTGTCGTTTATGTAAACTTAATGGAAGATGAGTATTTTTTACCCAAAAAAATATATTTAGTTAAATTTAAGTAAAACAAATTTCGATAAAATAAAGTAGGGCTTGTCAATGAATTGTATTTTAATCCGAATCCAATTCAAATTTTAGGCTATTTAATCAATTAAAATATTCGATTGAATAAATCCAATTATAAATATCTGCAATCCAAAATAAGTGGATAAATAATTTGATCTGTTAAAAATTTGAATTTAAATATTTTAATAATATTTTTTATTTAATTAATAATCATATATATTAATAAATACTTTTATATATAATACAATATATGTGACATTATAATTAATAATGCACTAATTTATATTTGTGAGGCATTTTATTTAATAGAATAATGTATATTTTTTCTAAACTATTTTAGAATATTCTTCTACTTTCCCTAATTTTAGTTTTTTCATTAAGTATTATATTTAATAATTAATTACTTTTGAAATTTTATGAAACACTTGAATAAATTAATTATAAATTTTTCTAAGTTTTAATTATAATACAAATAAAATTTAGTAATTTTATAAAGTACTGAAATCCTATCATAATTTTTGTAATATATTATATAACAAAAGTTCTTCTTAATCATTCATAAATAGTAATTTATTTATGAATTTTATTTAATAATTAATTACTTTCAAAATTTTATGAAGCACTTGAATAAATTGATTATAAAATTTTCTAAATTTCAACTATAATACAAATAAAATTTTATAATTTTATAAAGTACTGGAATCCTATTATAATTTTTATAATATATTATATAACAAAAGTTCTTCTTAATCATTCATAAATAGTAATTTATTTATGAATTTTATTTATATTTTAATAAAATCAAAATAATTAAACATAAATTTTTATCATTTATAAATAATAATTTATTTGATTTTACATGTCTTTTACTTATTGGTTATTTGATTTTAATTATTGTTAACTGTTATTCAGATTGAATTTTTTATTCAGATTTCAGATATAATAATAATAAGTAAAGATTTTATAAGATTTTAGATCAAATTCAGATATATACATTGGTAATTTGATTCGAATTTGGATTATTCTGATTTGATCTAAATTTGACTCGTTTATATACCTAGAATAAAGTTAATTATTTTTTATAAAAATATTTAAAAGAGAAATAATGAGAAGTAAAAATTAGAAAAAAAGAAAGTATGAACGAAAAATCACAATTTTTGTCTCCGAAGTTCTGGGACCGTAGCTTCCGAGCATATGATTTTAAGGACTCTTCAAATATTGCCAATTTATTTTATTGCTTGCCTTGCACCCAAAAATAACAAATGATGGGTATATTTGTCATGTTTGAAATAACAAATGCTAATTTTTAGAAGGATTTTTGTAAGCAAGTAGTACGAACAAGACTTTTGATCAATAATTAAGAAAATTAATGAACTCAGAGTGATCAAGTCTCGGAAACTTTTAATTGGAGGTGTTAGTGATTCTTCTCTCTCTCTCTCTCCCTCCCTCTGTGTGTGTGTGTGTGTGTGTGTGTGTGTGTGTGCAAACTCCTGAGAAAATTTTCGGCATGGTAAGAATTATCAAAATCCACATAACTTTTCTTGTTGATTGAGAAGAATCCAATCTTTAGCAATGGTTATAGTTTTTTCATTTTATTTTATAATACTATATGGTATGGCTACTCTTCTAGTGCGTTTGAATAAAAGTAATTTTACAATAAATTTTATGTTAGAATAATTTAAATGTTATAAAGTTAAAAGGATATTGTAAAAATTAATTAAAAAATCTTCTAAACCAAAAATATTGAACAAAAATTACAAGAATTACCCTTATAAAAATCAACCAATATAAATTAAAGTAATCTATGGATTATTTGCTCAGTATCCAGGTTCTTGATTTTCATTGAAGTTTTTTTTTTTTTTTTGTAAATTTCAGAATACAAAAGAGTCAATAATAATAAATTAATAAATATATAGCTAAAAAAAGGATTTGAAATTTTCTCCATTCATTTTTTTCCTGTCACCAGGTTTATTTTAGTTGGTATAGATAGTTATTATATATTATAGTTGGCGTAGAGAGTAAAATTATTTTTTTGATTTTGGAATTTTGCTTCAAAAACCCCTCTTGCAAGCTGAAAGCAGATGACACCTGAATCCTCCCGTCAGAGTTCTTGAAGATCAACTTGCGCCTTCACACGTTAATGATGATTTCACTTGCCTAGATTTTGCTAAATCTCATGATAACCATTATTGAGAAGGCAACTAAGCAAGGTGATTTACACATAATTGCACTTACCCAGTTGCCTATATACATGTCCAATAACTAGTCTCTTGAGAGAAGTTTAGCAGGAAGCTCAGGAGATACCGCTGCTAGAGAGTTGTCTCGGTGACATAAATCTGTGTCTTCAGCAGCTTCCCGTTCACACCGATGATACCATTAAAAGAAAGAGGAAAGGACGAAAAAGACATAACAGTCCCATTCAGGTCCACAAGTAGTTTTAAAATCTCCTCTACCACTGGAGGCTACTGGGCTAGTTCTTGATCACATTCACACCTACTTGGCCATTGAATTCAAGCAATTCATTTGGCAGGTTCCGAAAACTGATCGGTCAGTCACAAAGGGTGGAGGCAAACAGAAATGTCGACAAACAAACCGGTCCATGGAAACCAATATCAATTATCGGCGGAAGACCCAGACAAATTAGGTTTTTTAATTAAGAAAAGTGCTGTAAATTACTTGTTTGTTTTCTCCTCTCATCGAGATGTTCTTTTTCCATGTTTTCTTAAACCAGTATAGCGAAATTATAAGAACAAGTCAATGTCACAAGGATGGGATCAAAAACCATGGCGGCTTGACATACACCTTATGGAGTGTTAATACTGGAGAGATACAAATTTCGAAAACATTTGCTACTTAGGAAGTGCAGCAGTTGATTGGAAGCTTAAAATCCCCAGATGAAATTTTCTGGAACTCTAAGGTTTGTGGTTCTGAGTGCCACTAGTGGCATTACCGTAACTCACATCATCATTAGTTTCTGATGTAATAAGGAAAACAGTTAAATTTTCTATCCTCATATTCCATAGAAAGAATAGGCGGTAATAAAACTTGCCTAACGAGAAAAGTGCCCTTTGGACATCTGTTCAAAAATTAGGGGGGCCAGTCTAGTTATTGAGCATCTACGTCATTGCAGAGGTTAATTTTTGTAGATAAAACCCATAACTCGGATCATAACAGAACCACCATGCTGTTATATAAAATAAAAATGCTGTTAAGGAAAGGTAGCACTACAGCGGAGGGATACAGAGGGACCTACACGGGTTAAGTTGGGCTTCCAGGAGGCAATGAACTGCTAATTGAAAGAATGGAAGAGGCCAGCAGCCAACCCAGAGGGACCTACACGGGTAAGTTGGGCTTCCAGAAGGCAATGAACTGCTAATTGAAAGAATGCAAGAGGCCAGCAGCCAACCCAGAGGGACCTACACGGGTAAGTTGGGCTTCCAGAAGGCAATGAACTGCCAATTGAAAGAATGGAAGAGGCCAGCAGCCAACCCAGAGGGACCTACACGGGTAAGTTGGGCTTCCATAAGGCAATGAACTGCCAATTGAAAGAATGGAAGAGGCCAGCAGCCAACCCTGACTGATCTGGTCTACCAAGGAAAGGATCTTGTTTTCTTTCAGCATTTCTGTATTTTGAAAACATATAGCCACATGTGGGCCAAGATGGTCTAACATCTGCACAAAAGCTAGTGACTTCAACCGGGATCACATTCTAACATTTGTAGGCAGCTTGGGTTGACCTAGAGAGAAATTGTTGAAGAACAGTGATTCGAAATCCCACATAACGCGGCATGAAGAATCAAGATCCAAAGACTTCTTAACCCCCTCTTTAGATAATGAATTATTGCAGGGTAAATTAGTAATCAAGAGGTCAAATTCTGTCCATTCTCTCTAAAATTAAACTTCCAATAGTTAACCACATTTCTTCTTCCCCAGTGGGAGGATTAGCAAAATCCTATTAAAAAACGCGTAGAAAAAATTTGAGGTCGAAACTAAACCTGCTCTGTAGAGATATTTTCAATTCTAGAAGAGATGGACAAGCTAATGCAATGTGATTGGACGACTCCAATCCTGGTTCTTGCTACAACTTGCTACAACCAGAGAGGATATCCCAACACAGGCGAATTGGGCCATAAAACATGACTAATAAATAACCATGAGCATCACAACTACTGAAGATAGAGGACTTTTTAGAATTAGAACGTTTCCCATTAATTCTGAATTTTGTACATAATGCTCTAACTAAGATGGTTAGCATCCACTATAATTTGGAATAACGACAGATTCATCTACAAGAAGCTTACCATCCCAGCCTCTTTACAATAGTGCCAAATCTCCAAGTGGAGGAAAAATTAGATTAAAGGAAAATCTATATGGTACAATTGAATGAGGTCCTTCCTAACAGAAGATTCTCTGTTATGATTAGCCGTGATCAAACATCTTTGTCAGGGAAAACCCTGAAAAAAGATCATAGCAGCTATCTTTCAAGTGATGCAAACTGCAATTTCTTAAACAAGGCAGCTGCAGGGGAACGGTTAACGATCTTCATTGAGATCGCTAACAGCTGGGATATCCTAGGGCAGAAACTGAGCTAATCGAATCACCATGATGCTTATGTCATCAGTGGAACCTCGTGTTATGGACAAGTCAGTAAGCCTTTTACAAGCAGATAGTGGCTCCAAGTGACTAACATTAGTGCATAGAGGACGAATGATGTTTACTGCTTCCTGAGTACCAACCTGAAGAAGAAGAAAACAAAGCATCAGCAGACAGATCTTCAGCTATGATTTTTGCTATACAACCCAAGTGACATAAATAGTGTTATGCAATCTTGTCAAATTACCTTATCCCAGAGTCCATCAGAAGCAAGGATTAAGAACTCGCAGTCAGATGTAATGCTTAATATTTTCGTCTCTGGTTCTGCCACCACCCATTGTTTAAGATGTCTATCACCGATGCCCCTTGATACAGCAAGAGACCCCTGTAACCTCCAAACCCCATGGTAACAGTCCACATAGCCTCCCTGCATAATAGAATTGAAAGTCACATGAGCACAGTGGGAATAATTTTTCATATCTCTAACAACTTTTACTTGAGAAATATGGTTGCTTTATTTCGTACATTGGTTTCAATTCTGTCACGTTCATCTTTCCTAGAGGGCCGGTGATCAACTGTGAGGGCCTCAGCTACTCCTCCCCGACTCATAACAGCGCGACAATCACCGGCATTTGAAACAATAAGTTCACCTTGACGGATCAATGCAGTGACGCAACAAGCACCACCTCTAACATTTTCTTTCATAAATTTTGTATCAGTGGTAAGGTAACCATCTTTTACTGCCTCTTCTACTTCCTGTTCACCTCTTCTTGTTACCTCATTGATAATATTCCGATCCAAGTTCTTTGCTGCAAATTCAGCAGCTTCTGCTCCACCATGCCCATCAAAGATACCGAAGAAAGCCTGTAATAATAGTGGACGTATCTATAAGTAACTTAAATTGGCATAGTAGAAAACTACAAATTAGGCATAAAAATGAAATATACAAGCTTGCTGAAAGTCTGGAAGTTCTACCATAATCTCTATGAATCTATGTCCATTTTTTGGCCCATTTTCTCATCATTTTAACATGATGGCATACTTTAGAAAAAGGGCAGAGTCCTCCATAGATATTTGTTTTTCCAATTACAGGGACGACTATTTTCTGTTTACAGAACCAAACACGTTTTCACTGCCAAGAATCAATTGCCCATAGTTTAAAAGGACGTTATTTATTAGTTCAACTTGCAAATGGTTTTCTATTCAGCCATGAAATTCCGACCTAATTCATCATCGAACTTCCCCAGATTTACCAATTCAGAGATTTTTCTCTTCATAAAATCAGTATCCTATCTGTCTGCAGCAATTTGTCAAACACAAAACAAGAAAATTTAGAAGTAGCAAAATTCAAGTTTGAATTACCTGTTTAGAATCTCCTTGAAGATTAACATTGGCGGAATATCGATCCTCCATAGTACCCCTTTTGCCTCTCTTACAGTACACAGAATACCCCTCCCCCTCAAACTCCACCTCGTTCAATCTATCCCCAGCTGCCGGCGTCTCGACCGCCGAAAAACTCAAGGGAGCAATCGGAATGTTGATCCTTGGGGGCCTCTTCCTCTTTAGAAGCGCCGGCGAAGCAGACAACGACGTAGTAGCAGACAGCGGAGAAGAAGTACAAGCCAGCCCATCCTTCACCTGCCTCTGCAGGCAAATCGCCAGAGGCGTTAACGGAGACGCCGAGGACGACGGAGAAGAGGAAGATCTCAAATCCGACGGCGTCGGTGGCGATGACTGTCCGTGACGGCCCAGGCTTACCGGAGACGAACACGTGGACTTGCAGAAGATTCCAGAAACCCTAGGCGACTGCGTGAAAACAGGCGAGTTCGCCACTGCCACAGCGCCAATCATGTTATTCTTGCCGCTTAAAATTTTTCTATCAATTCAGATTTCAGAGAGCCACGAAAACGATTCGTAGAACCCTCGAGGGAGCATGGTATATATATACGCGCACAAGCCAGAGCCGCTAGGCAAGATCAGTGCGTCGTCGTTTTGAAAGAAATACTTGGATCCCAAATGTTTTCCCAGAAAGTGAATCTCACGCTCCTGAACATGCTGGAAGGGCGAACACGCGCCGGAAGAGAGAGTGGGTAAGGAGGTGACGGTGTCGAGGGGGCGATGTTGAAGGGAGACTGAATCAGTCAAAGGTCAAACACGTTAAAAAGGGTGCGCAGCTGGGGAGTCGGCTAGGCATCACCGGTGTTTGGTTGTTGGGATGAAGAAGGTCGGTTTATCTCTTTCGGCTCAAGTCTCAAGTTTGTTTATTCCCCGTCAACCCAAGGACTATGCCGTAGACTGGTTCTTATTGGTCCACGTCAGCGTACACACCTAAAAAGACGAAACGTCGGTTCGTGGTGCATGCACTCCATGCACGCACTAATACAATATTCCTTCCTTCAACTTGACAATTTTACTCCTCTTTTTTTTGTGGGTACGTTTTTTAGTATGTTTAATGACAACGGTGTTTGCGGTAGATTATCTAATTGTGAAAATTTATTTATTTAATAATTTATTTTTTATTATAATAAATATTCTTTATTTTAGTCACACGGCAGGTTAGACTATGATAAAAATTGCTAAAGACACGTAAAGAATCGTGCTATTTTTGATGAATGTCGTGATTTGATTCAACTTTCAACAGTCTTACGTGGATTTTGTTGATCTCTCTCGAACAAGGACTTGTGAAGAATAAGGAAAAATATTTATCAAAAAAGTTAGTTTATTATAAATTATTTATTTATTCAGAGTTGTTAAGGACCGTTGGATAAGTTCGATTTGACTTCCCTTACAAAAATAATAAATAAATAAATAAAAGAAACTGGTGAGTCAATGAATACATAAAATTTTAGTGCGTCTAGCTGTACGTGGACCACTATGATTAAATAAAACCAAGTTGGGGGAAGGAAATGAATTCCGCTAATTTGAAGTTGCTGAGGGGTGAAGATTACTGCAAGTTGAATTTAATTAAAAAAGAAGAAGAAAACAGAGAAAATATATTAATTACATGGCAGGTGGGCATTAGTTTTTTTTTAAAGTGTAGAAAATTAGGTTTTGAGTTTTTTAATATTTAATTTATTTAACATAAAAGTCATTTTTAAATCTCAAAAACATGAACGTCATTTCAGGTGGTGATTTTTATTGCTAAATTAGCGGTGACTATTTTACTAACAGATTCTTTTTTGTTGCTAAATTCATTTAGCGTAAACTTTATTGATTTAATGGCGAAAATTGTTTTTTGCTGAAGGGTTGTTTTGTTGGAATGAATGCCATATGATATATAAGATTACTGAGTATTTTGTCAATTTTGAATTGAATTAATCACAAAAATCAAATTTATTCAAAACCAAACTAGGAGAATATTGGCCAAACCAAATTAAGATTGTATCTTGAATTAGTAATTTAGATTCAAAAAATTACTAAAAACTTAGGGATAATAATTTTACGGTCATCAAAGTACATTTGAGGATTCAAGTTATTGATTTTAAATCAATAGGTCAAAACTAGTAATCCTCAGTTTATAATTTGTATTAGACTTTTAAAAATCACAAAAATTAAAAAAAAATTAAGGGAAGCACCCCTTTCTCAATAATGGCAACAAAGTTTTGTGTAGCAAGATCTCTTCAACAATGTTGCATTTGAACTAATAAAACATTGAGCCTTTTTATTTATGTTTTTTACCTTCTCATTTTTTAGTTTCTTACTTTTATTCCCTCCACAAACCAAAGATCTTAACGAAATATAAATTTTCTAGGTAATCTTGGTCATTTTACAGTATTTTTCTTTAAATTAATATCAATATATACCCACAAAAGAGAATTTTTTTAGTCATAATTAACCTATCACAATCATGTCTATTTATTCTCACTGAATTTTATCACAAATCTTCTTAAAAGATTTGTCTGAGAATTGAACCGGCTCTTTCAGTCAAAATCGGCAGTTGGTCCAACGGTCTACCTTGTTGAACGGTTCAATCATCTTAACGACCAGCTAAAGAGAAACGTCCAAACATACATGCACACACACATCCCCTGAGCCCTTGTATGTTGAAGGGATTGGAAGGGGGTTTGAGAGAGTCAAGTATTTGTAAATAGCAAGTTTCCCTTGTAATTAACAATCTTATACTTGGCAATTGCTTTCCTTTTGCCTTTTTTTTTTTTTTTTTAGCATGAGCATTAGGGTATCCAGAATATAGAGGTGTTCATGGTTTGGTTTAGTTCGGTTTAATATTTAAATTCAAACCAAATTATACTTTACGGTTTGTAGATTTTTATAAATCAAATTGAACCACGGTTTACAATTTGGTTCAGTTTTAAACCGCAGTTTGTAATTTACAAAATAAAATGAATTAAATTCATTATTTTCATAAAAATTTTAACGGAGTTTTTCTAAAAATAGGTCATATATTTTTTCCCAACATATTTAACTTAATAAATTCATTATTTATTAATTAACTATAGTAGTTATACATTTTATAATAAATATATTTATATTATTTTACATAATTCACTATTACTAATAGAAAGTACACTCTAAAAAAGAAAAATAATCAATTATTAGAATAAATATAAATATAAAAGAGAACAAAAAGAAGAAATATACGGTCGAACAATAAAAATATACTATATATGTAAAGATAAGAATTTTAATTTTGTATATATATAAACTATACAGTTTGGTTCAGTTTATACGGTTTGTCTAAATATAAAATTCAAATCAAATCACACTGTATGGTTTAATTCAATTTTATACGATTTGATTCGGTTTAATTCAGTTTGTTAAAGACTCCTACCACAATGCCTTAAACAAGAATGTGCTATTACCAGATGACGTCTTCAATCCCTTTGCCATGCACAATTATTGGAATTGGACTATGATTCAACGATTAGCACCAATAGCCTAAATTCTTGGACATCTCTAACAAGGCAATCACAATAAAATTTATCCAAAAAAAAAAGATAGAAAATGTTGCAACCAAGGTTAGAGTCGACCTAATTGTAATATCTTTTTAATTTTTGAGAATATTTAGTATGTTATTGACTTGACTGTTGAAATTTTATATTTTAACCTAAAATTTTATTTTTCTTCCCTTTAATTCTTCGTAGATGCGATGTGTTAATATATCATTTATTAAAAAGATATACAATCTCCACCACTTCAAACTCAAATTTATATATTTTTTTAAAATTCATACAGATATTCTTATTGGTTTTATTTTCTAACTCTATTCCTGTTTCAAATGTTCACTCACTCCATAGAGATAATACCAATAAAAGTTTTTGTTTTTTATAATATTCTATTCTCTTTGATGATTAATTAATCTCAAATAAAAGTGAATAATGAGCAACATTTGTAGCTTATAATCAGTTCTATCCTCTTTAATCTCGGCTTCACGTGTTTCACTTAGAGAAACATGTTTTTGAGGAAATTTGAAACTCAAATAGAATTAAGCCCTCTACCATTCACTATGTTGTTTTGCCATCTCTACGTTCAAGTGTGTATTAACCTAAATTTTTGCTGAGTTAATCAAAAAACAATCTTTGATTATTTTATATGAAAGGGCTCAATTGCATGAAATAGAAAATATCAAGGCTAAATTAAAATTTCTAGAGGGTCAATGAAGGAATTAAGTGAATTGGGAGTCTAAGTAAGAAATTAGAAAGTTGGGGGCTCAAATTCAAATTGTCAAGGTCCAATTGAATGAAATTAAAAAGGGAGGACAGGACTAAAAAGGCGCGGGAGATTAAGAACTAAAATTTAAGGCAAGGAAAAGTTATGTGAAAAGAATTAAAATTTGGGAGACCAAATCGTAAGAAACACAAAAATTTCAATCAACAACTGACTAAAGAAATAAGTAAAATCTAGGCCAATCAGTGGCCGATTCACTAATTAAATTGCATATATATAGGCATATTTATGTTCTCTACCAATTATCCCGATCAATTTTAGTCTTCCATCACAGGTTTTGGAGAATTTGTTCCTTTTTACTTGACTATTCCGTGGAGATTCGAACTTTGATTAAGCAAGTAATTTTCCCAATTTTAGTCGATTAATCCAACAATTTCTTTTAAAATTTTTTATACGAATTGAATCGATTGATTTCATTGAGTTTTGGTTGAAATTGGGAGTCCAATAAGTGTTAAATGCAATTTCGGGTAACTGAGTTATAGTTGCAAAACCCAGCTCAGTAGTTAGGTAAAAAAGATAAAGCCAGAAGGTATCCAGGTCTATCTTGGATCAGTCGGGACAATACAACCCAATTAGGCTAGGGCCATTTGGTTCAAGAGTTAAGCCAGTCCGGTTGTGGTAGTTTGAACTGGTTCCTAGTTCTATGAGTCAGGCAATTTCAAATTGGGGTGACCTTAAGTGTTTGGTAGGTCAGTTCAGCACAATTTTAGTGCTTGTGTGGTTATACTAGTCCAGTTTTAGGGTTTTTAGTTTAGTTTTAAAGGATTTAAATCTAATTTAGTTCAATTATAGAGGATTTTGGTTCGGCTTAGTTTGATTCTAAAGGATCTAGGCCTAATTTAGTCTAGTTCAAAAAAGTTTAAGGCCAATTCATGTCTATTTAGGAGAGTTTTAAGATAGTTCAAACCAGTTTAGTGGTAATTGAGACTGGTTTAGTTTGGTTCAAGGGTGTTAGAGGCTAGTTCAATCTGGTTTAGTGTTGTTTAAAGTTGATTCAAGCTGATTTGGGGGTATTTGAGACCAATTTGATTCGGTTTAAGGGTTATAAGTTTTGGAAATTAAACTTTAAGACATATGTTTTGGAATTATTTTGAAATGAAGTGAGTTGATTTGAAATATGTATACCTTACTTCGAATTTGAAATTAATATATACATATATATACACATACACATACACACACACACACACACACACACACACACATATATATTATTAGTTTGGAAAATATTTGAAATATGCCTCTATTATATGTATTTTCTAAAAATCATATGTTATGAGTTATTTTAATTTCAGTTATTTGAGTTTTGGATAAACATAATTGTGTTCTGATACTATATGTTTTATTATGTTTAAGTTTTGATTCTAGTTTAGTACGAGATCCTAGTATGATACGTGATACGTGATAATTTCGATATGATATGTTTTGCCATTGAGACGATATTTGATTTTGGTATGTAATACTTTTAGCATGATATGTTTTGTCATTAAAATGATATTCAGTTATAATACTCTCACTTAATTTTACTTATTACCAGACACATGCTATATGATTTCTAATGACATACTTAATTTCTCATTGTTTAAATGATACCTATATAATTTTGATACGTTGTACCCTGCATGTTCTAATATAACTAAAATTTGTATTATTATTTAGAAAGTTTTATACTCACCCATTCTCAACATTTTTCAGATTGTAGTGTGAGCTCACATTTTTTGTCACTTTTATGAACGTGTATGTGGTATTCTGTCGAACTATTTTCGATATATAGGTTCTGTTGCCTTTTGTTCATACTCTAAAATTGCTTCATTTTTTTTTCATACAGATCTTTCTATTTGTATGAATTTTGATACTTTTATTAAACTTGTTGAATTATAATGTCTATTTTGTTTGTGAGTTGTTGAGAATCACCAACTAGTCTTAGTGTCTGTCACATGTTTAGTATTAGGGCGTGACAGAATGGTATCACATGACATTGCTGCCAACGGATTAACACAGGATGGGTTTGGAGAGTCAGAATGGCGTAGGGGATGTGGACAGAACTGGCAAAAGTGGGCAGGCTTGCTACTGACCTGCCAGCATGAATTCGTTGAGACAAGTCATGTTAATAATTCAGGTGATCATCCAGTGTTATGGATTAAGGAGGGGTGGAGGCATGACGATGGAAATTAGATTCTGAGGAGGGTTGTCCTTGATGAAGAGTGGAAAGGTCGGTTCGATGAGGGGTGGTCTGCCCTGGATCTTCTGTGCCAGGAATTGCTTTAATTATATAAGATGGAACGGTGTCGTCATGGGTGTATTGTTTACAAATGTGCACAGGAGTTGGGAAGGAAGGTCCAAAAAGTACAGGTAATGCGCGTCGTGGACAAACTGTTGTCTGGTATAAAAGCAACATGTAACACGTGGCCACAATCAAGCTACCTATTATGCCCAAAGCTGCGGTGGATTTGATGGGGACTGGTTGGTGTGGTGTAATCAGCAGGGTCTTCGGCGGCGGTGGCACTGTTGCGTAACGTGAAGATGAGGAGGGAGCTTGCTACGTGCACCATGCAAGTGAAGGAGAAGCAGAGCATTAGGACAGAGGTCACCCGGGGAAGAAATGGAGTGCTCTTGCTTGACAAGGAGATATGTTTGAACAAGCCTGTTCGTCGTATCCAAGAGATACAATTGTATTCTTATCCTTTTGGGATATTTAATTGATGACGCATTTGCTCTTGCTTTCCATAAACGGAAAACGAAGCACGCCGTCGCTCCGTTGAAACTCCACCATCCCTCAGGCACGTGTCACGGAGAAGGGCTTTTTTCTCAAGTACCTGCGTGTCACACTTCTGTCTTTCCTCCTCAGCCTCGTCATCCATCCAGGTGTCGCCCTCTCCTTTCCCTCCCCCTCTTATAAATCTCTACTACACGCTCTCCTTTCTCGTCTGCCACCTTATTAAAAATAACCCTCGCCGATCATCGGTTCGCACGATCTAGTGTCTCTACATCTTGAGGTGTTTGTTAAGTACTAAGGTTGAGAAGGATGTCGTCCCTGCAGGAAAGACAGGAGCTTGATCAAAGGGCGAAGCAGGGCGAGACGGTTGTTCCCGGTGGCACCGGAGGCAAGAGCCTCGAAGCCCAGGAGCACCTCGCTGAAGGTAAAAAAAAAAAAAAAAAAAAAAAAAAGGCGCATAGATATCTTATATATATATATATATATATATAAAGAGTGAAAAAGTATATATATGTGTTGTTTAATTTGTTTTTGGAAAATTATGCGAAATATAGGGAGGAGCAGAGGGGGGCAGACAAGGAGGGAGCAGCTAGGGACGGAAGGGTACCAGGAGATGGGCCGGAAGGGCGGGCTTAGCATGGCCGACAGGGCTGGTGGCGAGCGGGCCGAGGAGGAGGGCATTTCCATTGACGAGTCCAAGTTTAGAAACGGGAGTTAGATTAACTCCCTTTGCATCTTGGTTTTCTGTGTCTTTCTTGATAATAATGTTGGTGGTTGTGAGCCACTGGCAGTCAGTCCTGTAGTTGAGTCGGGTCGTCAGTATCTGTGTGTTCTTGGAGTCTTTTTTTCTGGTCTTGCAGGCTACACGGAGGCTGCTTTTGTGTTCTTTCATGCTCATGCTAGCTGTTAATGCCTCTTTTGGGATTGCTATGTAGTGGATGTACTATCAAGGGTTTTATGTAGTGCCTAATGTTAATTTCTCGTTTTATGAATCCTCTCTGTGCTTTTCCTTTGTTTTTGCTTTTTCTCTTGAACCTTTCGCTTTTCACTCCATTTGGAGATTGTTAAACTCCGATGATACTGAATAGAAGGGCCTGTTTGTCTCTTTCCATTCTCTTTTTGTTTCGTTTTTATTCTTGAATGCATCGAAGAGGGGGGAAAAAAGGAAAATACACAAGGCAAAGGGAGGACTACTCTTGAAAATAACAGAAGACAAAATGGAAAAGCAGACATACTTACAATTTGGTGTTGAACTTTATTTCTTTTTGACAAATTACGTCATTATACAATTCATATAGGTGAGAAATCAATTGTGCGCTCCAAAAAATGACCCAGTTGGTTGATATCACCGTCGCTCAACCACAGCCCCACCCCAAATGGGCTTAAAGAGAATGCCCAAAAGACGAAAGGAAAAGCCAGAAAGAATGGACGAGCACCAAGATCACAAAAATTAAATTTATGTAAATTCATCGCAAAAAGAAATTTGAAGGGATGAGAGGGAGGGAGGGAGGGAGGGAGACACGTGTCAACAGCGTGATATGATACGAGTGTAGATGAACTCGTTCCACGTGTCCGGCAACCCAGGAAGGCACCAATGAATGCAATCCGCGTAGACGGCCGGATCGGCTTTTTGCTCGTCGGTTAGCATTTTCCCTTGGCGAATGGTGTAGACCGAGGTGTGAGCGTCCTTGCGATATTCCGAGAGGGTCGTAATGTTAATGAAGTGAACTGGGACCGTCATGGACCGGGTCACGTTCTCCACCGCCCGGAAGAGCCGGCGGTCGGTGCCCACGTTGATCCGGCTTGACGTGTTCAAGATCGGTGTGGTCTCTAGGGCGCATTTGATCCCGTCTGGGTTGTTCCAGTCCAAACTCCTTAATTGCGAGAATGTAATTAATGTTTAATCAAGATAATTCATGTTAAAAAAACCAATAAAGCAATAGAATTGGGGATTACTTGATATGAAGAGGAGACATGCTCATGAAGAAGACCATTGTACGATTGGGATCGACATTCGTTTCCACCCACTTAGACCAAGTCGTCAGAACTCTTTCATACGCTATAGGCCGTAGGAACTCATCGTATTCAGTCGATCCTTCATCGAACGATCCTCGTCTATTTAAAATGGATAAAAATATAAATTTAGTCTATATTGAACCTATCTAGATTTGGATCCATCAAGCATGTCCCAAACCCGACCTATTCCAACTTACAGAACTTTCATGGCACCAGTGTTCATCCACCAAATGTAGGTATTGAATATGAGGTAGTCCACTCCCTTCCAATTTTCACCATGCTTCCTGATGGATTCGGGCATGATGATCCGGTTAAGAATGCTGTGCATATTCGGGTCGTCGGAGTTCGACTCCACCAGGAATGGGGCCCAGTAGAACTCCACCGTGGCATTATAGTCCTGCACATGTCAAATAATAAAATACAAAACTAGTCATGACTTTATGGGCAATTGTCAAGCCAGGTTGTCCACCTAATCATGAACATTTTCAATAGGGCTGGGAAAAGTTTCCAATGGGACAATACCACTCACCAAATATTAGGTGAAAATGGCTAGTGTAACTACTCTAACTGCCTTTTCCCAGTGACATACAAAAATACTTATTTAAAAATTTAAACATTTTTTCTCTCTCTTTTTTCTGGGTTTTTAAGATTGAAGGAGGTTGACATGTCTAGTCTAGAAGATGTGTAAGGAAAAATATCTAATTCTCGCAGGTGATTGAAAAAATATAAAAAAATAAACCCATATAATTTCCTATAATCGACGGTTAAGAGATTTAAAAAATTTGCATAATCGTTCTGATAAGAAAAATAATACAATCAATCATCATTAGAAACGGAACTTTAGAGTGGGATTAACGAAAGCTCAAACATCATCATTGCAAGCTTAGGTACTCCATCTTTTTTCAAAAGATAAAAAGACGGAGAAGAGAGAGAGCGAGAGAGAGAGAAAAGGACCTCGATTCGGAAGATAGAGAGAGAACCCGTCTTCTTCAAGCTCTTTCGACCCGGAGGAACTACGGACTGAACCAGACAAACCATGGACTCCCACTGGTTCCGGTTCAACGAGTCTCCCACAAACATCAGTCTCTTTCCTCTTAATTTCTCCAACAACAATCTGGCTTTGAACCTTCAACACAAAATATACAAAAGTAAATCAGAAAATCATCAATGCACAAGTGATGACAGAAAATAATTGGGAAAAAAAAACTGAAGGACAATTTGGGACAGAATTCTTACTTAGGTAGAGAACAATCTTTGGGCTGCCACCTCCAGTTCTGGTACAGTGAGTCCTTCCTCCCATTCCTCAAGCACGTCACCTGTGCCGTCAAAAACTCACATGCATCTTCTCTGTAGATCGGACGGCTCACGTTATCCAAAACCCACTCTCCTATAAACAGATTACAATCCTCCGGAGGCAATTCAACCTCTTCTTCTTCATCATCACTTTCTTCTTCCAGCGCCACTTTCCTCTCTCTTCTTCTCTTCTCTTACGACGCTCTGTTTCACTTCCTCTGTTCTCTCTGCTTCTGAATCTATCAAAACTAAGTCGTTTTTGGTCCGCGCTTCATGAGTTTTAGGGCTGGAATTCACCGCACCAGCACTCTCTGTTTTCGAATTCATAGAAAGTACGTCTTCTAGGGGTTGCTCTTCCTGAGCTTTAGGCCTCGAAAACGGAAACTCTGCGATGGACTTGACGTCCTCGTTGTACATAAAGCAGGCAAACAGGAAAATGGAGAAGACCACGACGAACACGGAGAGGTTGTTGCTTTCCGGCCGCCGCCTCCACCTCCGCCGCCGGCGTGCTTCATGGCTATCTTGATGGAGGAGAGAAGGGACGGAGTTTTCCGGCGGGTAGGTTGCATGAGTGAGAGAGCAGAGAGTTGGAGATATAGAGAGA